AAAAAAAAAAAAAAAGAAAAGAAAAGAAAAAAGAAAGAAAGAAGATTACCCATAAGAGCCAGAGGCTTGCCCAGATACCATCAGTAAGTACACACAGATCCTTTCAAGAAGCCTGTGTGGACCAGAGTGGCCTGGGTGAACAGATCCTAGCCAGGGCCCTGCCCAGATACCAGTGGCTTGGGACCACCTAGAAAACAGCTACACAGGTGTGCAGTGAACAGCCAGAGGCCCACCCAGATGCCATTAGTATGAGTGCACAGATCCCAGTGAAAAGTCCATGTGGACCACAGTGGCTTGGGTGTGCAGTTTTCATCCAGGGCCCCACTGAGACACCAGCAGCTTGGGCCCACAGACCCCAGCCAAAAGCCCGCCTGGAGAAGAGCTGCACAAGTACGCAGGCAACAGCCAGAAGCCCTTCCAGATACCCATTGGTAAATGCATGCAGATCCCAGCCAGAAGCCTGCTCAGACAACAGCGACTTATGTGCACAGCCCCCAGCCAAAGGCCCACACCAGTAACAGCTACTATGCAGGTGGGTAGGCCCCAGCCAGAACCCTGCCTGGACAACACATATAGCACAGGGGTCCAGAAGGCCACCATTCTGAACCCAGGAATTGGCACAGTGGTGAGCAGCAGAGGAAAGGCCTCCCTGAGGCTTGCCGAGAATTGAAGCCTAATGGGGGTCCAAAAAGTCACTTCAACAGAGGCACAGCAGGCTGCATCCCTTGAAATGAGAAGATACGTAAACAAGTCTCAAAACCAGACTTCAGATCACTTAAGGCAATTCCAAGGGGCAACAAGATAGAATAATCTGATACTCAACCACCTGGACTCCCTGAAATGAGCAACAAAAGAGGATCTAGAAAAAAAAGGAATCAGAAATAATTTCTCAGATAACAACAGAGATTGTGTCCATAGTGAAAGACATGATTAATAACTTTAGAGCAGACATAGGTAAAGAAATAGAGGAGCTGAAGTACATGATTGAATTCTAGCATAGGAAACAAATGGAATCTATAAAACAGATGTAAATGGATATCCAGGAGATTAAAAACTCCATTGAAAGTTTACAGAGCAGAATGAACCAATGTAAAGATAGAATATTAGATATAGAAGTCAGGATTGCAATTAGTGACCAGGAAAGGAAAGGTTTCTTAAAAATAGTAAGGGACCACGAGAAAACAATCCAGCAGCTGCTAGATGATGGAAAGAAGAATAACATAAGACTAATTGGAGTCAGTGAAGAAACAGGAGAGAGTGCAAACATAAACAAAAAACAAAATAAAACAAAACAAAAAAAAACTGTTCACAGA